TAATGAGATATTTAATATGATATTTGCATTTGTGCGTGCGTGCGTGCGTGTGTGTTATGTTTCAGGGATAGTGAATAAAGAGCGCGCGCGAAGCGCGCGCTTTGTTTTGTTCTAGTAAAATAAAAAAAAAAACGAAGAGATGCACTAAATGCGACAACATTAGTATTATTGTTTATGATATAATTAATTTTTAGACAGGATAGTTTTTGGACGATTTCTATAGTTTTCAATTTAAAACTTTGATATACATATATGTATACATATATATGCCTTAGTAATGAGCTATAAAAAAGTTGAGACTGCTCCAGAACCGATATATCAGTTTTCCAATTTTTAGAAAAAAAAAAGGTAAACAAATGTTTCTTTCGTCTTCAAACTTTGTTGTTGAAATATTTTATTAGAATAATTATTTTCACATACCTTTTACAATAGAATATGATACAGAAACATATTATGTAAAAATTTTCAAGATAAAGAGATGAAAATATTTATATCAATACATATCAGTACACTGTATAATATACATACAATAAAATATCAATATAATATAACCAAAGAAATATGTATCAAGAAAATTATCTCAAATAATATAATAAAATAAAAAAACATTAATTGAGTTCAAAGATGGTTTTATCGCTCAACGCCAACTCGATAGTGTGACGTTGTCACATAAACGTTACACAATCACATATGTATACAGTCTATGCAAAATGTTTTTATTGAATTATTAGTCATATGGAGGGACTAACTTAATCTAAAGATTACTTGCCAACATTTTAAACTATACACACTTTTCGAATTTAAATCAATCGATTAATATAATAGTTAAGTTGGTGGTAAGAAAATTTCATACTTCGCAGACTCATTTAAGAAAATAGTAAAAAAAAAAACAATATGCACTTGATGAACTTTCGATTGATATTACTAAAAAAAAATGCAGTTTTTTCCATCAGTTTTATGTCAGATATATTTAAAATTGAACGAACTACTGAATCCAACAGTCCACTTTGCGCTCTGCATTTATTTATCCGCATTTGATTGTCTGACAAAGATTGATCAATTAAAGCGCTAAATCTGCTGGAATCTAGTGCTAATAGCGTAAGTGAGCGCTTCTAAAAATGCGCCATCAAACTATTTCCGTAATATTTTTTTCGAGAGAGCTCTTTTTTGTGTCGCAGGTGGCATACCATGGAAGTGAGGGTGATCACCGCGAAGGAAAGACCCAATTTTCCGGTCTGCCGAAATCGCCGGTTCGCGAATGAGGGCGCGAGATCCATTTACGAGCTGGTAACGGGATCGAACGCGAGATACTGCATAGGAGAATACAATTATGCTACAATGTGGCAAACAAATAGAATTAAGAATATACCAAGGCGTAAATTCTCGACAGATTCAGAATCGATCTCGCGTTTTTTAACTGTTAAATTTTATCTGATCTATATAGGGAAGGACTGTAAATAACGTTAGACGATGAGCACGATTTTACAGTATTTATGAACATGCAAATCCGATATAGTATATAAATGAGCAATAATTATTTACACGCTACATTACAGAAGTCGAGCTGATATTGTGTTCACATGAGATGAAATGGATGATAAAACGAGCGATCATTAATCTTGTATTTACTGTTTCGCATCATGCGGAAGATTCTCAACACGAAACGTCGTTATTGAGCTCTCTCCCCCTCCCCCCCCCATACTCTCGACTTTCGTAATCTTCCCGCGCGATGCGAAGCTTTTACTAATTAGTTATTATATTATATCCGGACGCCTTTTGCATGGATTCATCTTTTTCTGCCTATTCAAGGTTATAATAATAACAACTGCGCTTAGCAAGATCGTATGCCAGCCGGCGCTATAAACAGCGTTTCATACAATTCCATTGCCATACCACACAGAGAGGCGGTCCCCTGAAGGAGCTCTGCCATCGACACGCAGACTAGGTCCATTGTGTCTTCTATTCGAGGTTATCGCATCCGAATTATAGATACATTTATCCGCTCTATACATTTTATCTTATTTTACTTTATCTAATTTCCTGTATGTCTCTCAATGTCTCTTTCGAGACATGGTGCATTTTATATTCAAATTTTCTATGACAAAAAATTCTGGAATTTATAAGTAATAATTTATTTTGTAACAATTTTATTTAATTTATATTTAGTATATATTTATATCTATTATATGTATAACTTATATATTGTATTATGTGTATGCAGAATGACAAAATGCAATCATAAACATTTTTGATTTTTAACAATTTATTAATTTTTTAGTTTTTTATAATTTTATTTTGTCTTTTAGATATTTAATAATTATTTAAGCTTCCTCCTTTCAAATAAAAAAATAATTTTAGCAACGCAGATATTTTTTTGTCTTACATTAGTTTCTTCTTTTGTTTTTCACCCACGTTTTACCTATTCCATATATTACTGGATCAATAAAAAAAAAAAAACAATTTCCTGTAAGTCTTAATTAATTCTTATTTGAAGAATTCTTATATGGAGCTATACACATATCTTATTGATAGTTTTGTTTTGGTTTTATTTTAAAAATGCTCTCCTATGCTTAGATTAATAAAAAAAGAATATTTTTAATTTTAACATGAGAAAACAAATTATAAATTACAATAATGCTAAAAATAAACAAGTTATTAAAAATGATAAAGTACATATACAGGGTGTCTTATAATAACCGCATCAGACCTCGTGGACAGGTAGAGCAGATGAAACTGAACAGAAAAGTTCTCAACCATTTTGTAAAATTCGCAATCGTTAACGAGATATTAATTTTTGAAGATCAGCGAATAAATGCGTATCCGTCCGCCTATCGCTGAATGCAGGCGCGCGGCGAGATACAACCGCTCCACTGCTGGTAGTTGCTAGCCGGTAGTTGACAAGCGGTGGGGCGGCGTATCTCGCCGCGCGCCTGCATTCAGCGGTATGGCAGACGGATATGCGTTTATTCGCCGATCTTCAAAAATTAAAATCTTTTTAACGATTGCGAATTTTGCAAAATAGTAGAGGACTTTTCTGTTCAGTTTCATCTGCTCTACCTGCCTACAAAGTCTGGTGCGGTTATTATGGGACAACCGTATATACAGGGTGCCCCATTTTATATTTGACAGTCAAATATTTGGAAATTGCGAGATTTGAGAGAAAAATGTTCCAGATAAAAGTTGTAGAGTTTCGAGGGGGACATAAGATGATAACATTATTGGTTTGATTCTGAGTGGCGTCGTCAAGGCCAGGACAAGGTCACTTTGAATTTTTTAAATGAAATTTAATTTTTATTTAAATTTCATTTTTTGTTGCATATTCTTGTAGCTTATTTCGAGAGCTTTCCAAAACATATAGATAAAATGTTTTCTGGTTAAAGGGGTTAGGCCACCTTGCCGGGGTAAGGCCACCTTTGGACGTACAAAATAAAGGCCAATTTTAGGAATTTTTTTCCAAGCGTATACTAAAACCGGTCAAAATTTAATATGAAGTACATTATTAGTTATCTTCGAAGGTACAAAAAAATATTTTTTTAAAATTTTTTTACTACAAAATGACGGCTCCAGTGTCCGGGTTAGGCGATGCGATTATGTCGAGCCCCTAAACGGGCGAACCGGCTGCTCCGGCAGATTTGAGTCTCGAACAAAAAACAAAATTTTTTCTTTAAATATATGTCATAAATTAGTAGACTACGTAGGGATTTTGCGATAAGTTATAAACTTTTTTGTTCATAAAACATTTATTACGCAATTTTTATGTGAAAAATGAACTTTCTTTTCATATGCTCACCATTTTTCGAAAAAAAGGTATTTTCAAATTTCCCTACGTAGTCTACTAATTTATGACTTATATTTACTAGTATATACATATACTTACTAGTTTATGATATATATGTAAAGAAAAAATTTAGTTTTTTGTTCCAGACTCAAATCTGCCGGAGCAGCCGGTTCGCCCGTTTAGGAGGCTCGACATAATCGCATCGCCTAACCCGGACACTGGAGCCGCCATTTTGTAGTAAAAAAATTTTTAAATAATGTTTTTTTGTACCTTCGAAGATAACTAATAATGTACTTCATATTAAATTTTGACCGGTTTTAGTATACGCTTGGAAAAAGATTCCTAAAATTGGCCTTTATTTTGTACGTCCATGGTGGCCTTACCCCTTAGTAAATCTAGAGTTATAAAGCTTGAAAGTTACAGTACCACCGGCATTAGCATTATCTAAGGTGTCCGAACAATGGCTGAAACCTTTTGAATGTTGTTCAGGATCATGAACTTGATAACATGTGTTAAAGTCGTGATTATTGTAGAATGTTTCTCTTTTTTCAAAAAATAAAAATAATTTTCAAAAATGAAAATCATTTATTTTAGTAGATATTTATATATTACATAATAGTTATAACTGATTATTTATCTTTGTAGAAAGGCCAGATCCATCTACATGATTATCTCTTTTACTTATTCTTTCCTTGTGACAAAGGTTTCACAATCTCTGTCATGAGCTTAGTAAAAAAATCACGAAAATAGGATAACATGCAACGGGACAATTCTTCTCGAGTAAAAGATTCTCTGTGAACAGGTATTAATCCAAAGTACTCGTATATCATTCATAATTCATTCAAGAAGAATTTCCCTGTCGCATATCCTATACTTATAATTTTTTTATTGGGCTCAATAGATATAAATCATCTATTAGACGAATCCATATTACAGGTATTTTTATCCAAACGAATTATTTTTTATATTAATTTTTATATATTACACTATAATTATAACTGTTTTAGTGGAAAGATGAAAGGCCAGATTCATCTACATTATCTCCTTTATTTATATCTTTCCCTTACACAATTTCTGTTGAGCCCAGTAAAAAAAGCACGAGAAAGGGGTAATATGCGACGGAGCAATTCTCCTCGAGTAAAACACATCCTCCCCGAAAAGGCATTAATGGTTAACAGGCCGAGGTATGTTAGAATACTACAAAATGCGTGATATCGTTACAAAATTGACTTAAAAAAAAAAAAAAAGAAAAAAAATGAGTGTCTAGTGTAAACGCGCTCTTCGAAAAAAAAACTTGTATCCAAATTAAATATAATATTTTAAAAGATAAAACCTAAATGGTATTCTTCTTTGTACTTTGATGTTAACTAACTTTACTTTAGTGATATGTATATTGCTATTACCTGTACAAATGACTTGATATCAGTAAATGGCGTCAAATTAAATAAAAATTATCTTATTCAACCTAAGTAATGTATATATTGTTTGTATAAAATATTTGTTGTCAATAATTGGTGTCAAATTATATTCATAAATTGATTACAAATCTATAAATTGATATCAAATCTTTCATATATTTTATATAAGTAATAGTAATTGAATAATTAAAAATTACACGGTAGTTAAGTCCAATGACATTACGCAATCTTGAAGAGAACGAGAATTTGCGTTCCTGAAACGCGCCTGATTTTCTGTTAGGTTTCGCGTGCAGTCTCTCTCTCGAAGTTTCATTTTCTTCCACGATATTGTACAGTCATCCTCTCGACAGGGACTGATTCTCTTTCTCTCTCTGTTTCCCCTCTCCTTTCTCCTTCTCCTCTCCCTCTTTCTTTTTGTTCTCTTCTCTTTTTTCTTTTTTTTAATCTCCTTCCACTTTTCTTTGTGCCTCATTTCTTCCGCGCTAGTATGTATCTAGAAAGTTACATTATATGTACGTATGTCTACAGACGCGTATCGGGCATGTGCAGTGACTTATGTGTCGGCTGACTCTCCGCAGCCGGAGGTGATGGCAGATGCTGAGCGAAACCGCGTGACCGTAAAGCATGGATTCGGCGTTGCATGCGACCGATGCATCTAGTAGCGCCGCGGGTCTATCTACTAACGCGGTGGGACTGCGCATTGCGCATCTTTCATCTCGTAAAATATATTTCAACGCTCGAATTATGGTGCTCACAAACAATCGGCAAGGCAAAAACACATCGCGGACGCAAATCATGTGAATAAAGAAGAATGAGCACAAGGTGGAATTGCAACGTTGGACCAAATATAGCAGATTTGAATACATTGCAGAATGAATTTAAACAGTAAATAATAAATCATAAAATAAATCAAATGATATACAAATTCACTATAGTATTTTTTGAGTATAATTTTTCCACAATTGCAGCACATTATTTGTTGTAATACGTTCAGAAATTCGAAGTTTTAAGTGAATGTAGTACATTCTTAAAAAAAAACGGATATGTATTAAAATTTTAATAGGATAAATAAAACGTTTTTTAATGTAGAGCTATAAAAATAAATTTCATTCTAATTATGAAATCATTACTAATTATGAAATCAAAAAGAACCAAAACATGAACTTCAGGATTATTAAACAAAAAATCCCCAGAAAATTTCATAAATTTGATAATAAAAATAAAATAATTTACGCAATTGTTAATAAATTTAAAGCACTGATCTCAATGCTTAATGAAAAAATCAAGAAAATTTAAAAATTCATATTTCGATGTACAATAGCATTGAAAATAAAATTTTTTCTTTTCAGATCTAATTATTTTTAAATTTATAAATTATATTTATACTTTTATTTATTAATTATATACATACAACACATTAATACAGTTATATATTTATACAGTTATTTTTATATACTTTATTAATATATTTATTTGAAAATTTAT